ACTATTTTATACTGTGATTTTAATTTATAATAATAATTAATTAATTGATTAACTTAAATAACCCATTTTTTCCTTGTATAATATTACAGTGACATATAATGATGAAAGGGTAAACATCTTTTATCAGTTATCAGTAAAGATGAGATAACAAAATTGTAATGTCGGCAGAACGAACTACCGATTGAGTTGCGCCTCTGCATCGTGCTACCATCTACATTTCAAATCAAGATTGTAGAGCATCATACAGTACGATTTATGTCGCATTTAAAAGGCTAAAGGTTTTATTTGATAATTAGAGATATGATCTAAAATTAAGTTGACTTACATCTCGCTTGGAGTGCGGCGGAGACAGAAATCTCTGATCAATATTATATTTAAGGAATATTTAATGAATATGACAAATTCTGATATATCAATCACATGATCTAACGAAGAGTTCTAAAGTCGGTAAACTTCTCGATGAATTTCCAAAGGATACGTCTCGTGGAACTTACACAACACAAACGGCTGGTTCTCAACAATAATCTTTGCATGTAACTCGCCATGTTGACTAACGACTGATGATAGCGACGAAACACTGACTTTGTTAATCTCGTTAAAAAATCCTCTTATCGGCCGTGTCTTAAGGCGTGTCCGCACCGAGCGATTGAAAGTTCTAACAAGTGTTTTGATATAAATATTCAATGACTTTCGATAAACATGCTTCGACCAAGCAGCAGTTGACGACTGATGAATAGTCAGCTGATCTATTGATGTCGAGGACATCGTGAGACTTTACGCAACAATATGATTGGCTCAACAGCAATTCGGAGGCAAGTTCGAATGGCCGTTTCTCACAAAGGAACTTCGCGAAGTGTTAAATCCTGATTTTAATAAAACTTTGTGTGCATATAGATACGTAAAAAATAAATTTAGAAACTATCAATTGAGACAGGGAGCGATTTTATGACATCTCTAAAGATGACATCGTTTTGTCACTAAAACAATTCTTTTTTTATTGATTTTACTTAAAAAAATATCTTATAAGTGAAGACTCTATTGATATACTACACGTGTGTGTGTGTGTGTGTGTGTGTGTGTGTGTGTGTGTGTGTGTGTGTGTGTGTGTCGATATCGGTGCATAGTCTTTTTTTTAGAAATATTATATTTTAGCCTTCCCTACTGTACATATATTTGCATCTTCAGTAGATGTAACTAATCTGCGGATCCCGCAGATTTACCCGAATTTTATCATGAACTTAATTTTAAAGTAAATATTATAATACAACAGAATTCTCTTCAAAATTTAATTAAAAAGGAGGAGGGAAGAAAGAAAGAGTCATTCTACATTTTATCAAGTACTTACCACACTGAGTATTATGAAAAATATCGCATAAAAATGAATATATTGTATTATAATATTGTTATAATAAATATATTAAAATGAATTATTAAATATTAAATAAGGACAAATACTCACGAATATTGTGAGTGTAAATTGCACCACAGCCTATAAGGACTTCCAACTTCGTGGGATTACAATGCAAAAGCATTTTTCTCGTGTAAGTTCTACATTTTATTTGCAAAAGTTCTCTTATACAGAAAGTTCGTATGTACAGCTTCTAAGTTTCGAAAAATTTTCCGGAAATCGTCTACGATGCTTGAGCATATAAAAGGAAAAAAATGATAGAATGGTAACGATGACTTTATACTATAAACATTAAGTATAGAAAGTTATACGACAACTCTGTGTTATCTTATCGTTTTATCGAAAAACATTAATTATGTCATTAATATTAATTATCGTACGATTATACAGAAAAGTGGACGGATTTTTGACTAACGTTCTTTGCTTTCGACACGACATAAACATATACTTCTCTTGCATATTTATATATATGTATATATATATATCTTAATAATTATTTCTTCTCCTCGCATTCTTTTTCATTTAATAATTTACATTCGCAATTAGAATCAAAATATTGATCTAAAATTCTAATTTAAGAATTTTAGATCAATATTTTATTAAACGGAACACGCTCGACGGCTCGTGTATTCAAATCACTCTCATAATTCCTTTCTGTCTGATAAAGCAGCAAGACTTCTCGTCTTGGACTTAAAAGCGGACGACAAGAATGAACGATAAAAAGGCCGGTCTGCGTAAAATATTGACTAGCCTAGCTACTCGAGCTCCTTAACTCTCGATCTGCGTCTACTCCGAGACATGCGCATGAGTTAAAATTATTATACTCCTACAAGGCCAGCAGAGACCTTTACACTTACTAGTACACTTTTTTAACAGCGGTTAAGCCGTTATACATATTGCAGATAGTTTAACGGAAAAAATTCTTTGACGCGCAAATTATAACTAGGAGCTGTAAAAATATACTGCCCTGATTATGTATTACATATGATGCGCATGTCGCAGTCTGTCCTCCTCACCCGTCTTAGACCGTCAGTGTTTTCGCACGCTTTTATTACGCAGACAATACAAAGTTCTAAATCTGGACGTAAAACGTCTTAAAAACGACTGAAAGGCGGTTTAAAGAATTTTTTCGACGTCTAAAAAAATGTCGCATCGAAATATTTAAGCTCTGCTTTGTGTGTATATAGGATTTCTCTCACTTAATTTATTCTCATAGGTCCAAATTCGTATTATAATTGTCTCAATTTTAGACTTTATATTGTTTGGATATGTATAAATTGAATCGGTCATTTCAAAAACTCTATATAAATAAAAGAATTTAACTTTTAGAGAACTAAAAAAAGTTCTGTAGGTTTTACAACTGTAGTATTAAAAATAATTAAAGATATGTAAAATATGTCTTATTATTTCAATAAGTGAATAGAATATATGTCACTTTTAAAATTTATTTCCAAAAAGATAATTAATTTCGAAGATATTGACTCATGATGTTTCTGAAGTAAATGAACATATTTTGTACTTATATATAACGAGCCTTTTAATTAGAAAATTTTGTAAATGTAATAACAAACTTCTTCAAAAAAATGTTATAAAATAAGATTACAGTCTAAAAACATATTTATTGTTGACAAATAGGGGAGGTCAATAAACTATGGGTGTAAGTAGAACAATCGAAGCTACATTAAAAACAAAATACACGAGACACGCGTAAACATGTCTGAGCACGCAACAGATTGAGGCTGCCACTCAGTCTGCTATTACATCTCGTTATTCCGGAATATGCAATAGAGTTCTAAGCCTTAAGCCATAAAAAATAGACGAATCATAATCTATTATTCTTCTCAAATTCGACTATAATTGGTCAATTTCTTATAACTTAAGGCTTAAACTACGTATTGCAGATCCGGATTAACAGACACATTTATCGTAGAAGTAACGCTATAAAAAAAATTGTATACCTAAGTAAATATTTTTATTCTTAAAATTTTTGTTTTACAATCGTATTGTCTGAGATATTTGATTTCTATTTAGATAGTAAGTGTTTAGATAGTAAATTCTTACTTAATAAAGTCCAAGTTTTTTTGTTTATGTGTCTTTTTGTTATTTGTAGAAAATGAACGGATGGGAGGATAGTAGACTAACCATGGCTCTGTATGACTCATTTAGTGACGATATAGTACTCTTATAGTAGGGCAGAGGTTAGTAGACTCATTTTACAGTTTCGAATTTTTACAGACGAAATTAGAGACTTATCGAAAAAATGAATTCTACATCAGTTATTACATTTGACTATCTAATAATATTTTAATAAACTGATAACTAATATAAAAAAAAAAACATTTTTCTAATGCATTCCATCTGATTCAACTAGCCCTGGAACCGGGATAACTTGACTTGATAATTGTAAGATTATTAAAATAAAAGATTAATGTATTTTAAGCTACATCTTTGGCTACATATTAATAAAACTTTTATAAAAATATATTTTAAATACAAACATTCACTTTGCAGAGTGGAACACTTCTTTTTGCAAAATTTGTTCGTTTCATTCAAAAACACGAATGAATCTTATTTTCGAGATTGAACATGAAGGAATTAAATTTATAACATTTCCCACTGAGATAAATATTTTTAAAGAAATAAAATTTTGAGTAAGTACTATAAAAGTCGTTATTAAATGAGCCATAGTTCCATGCTGTAGTTAGTTTATTATCCCCTTCCATTCATTTTTTAAAAACATTAACAATACATGATAACAAAGACACATAAACCAAAAAAAAATCTATTGGACTTTATTAAGTAAGAACTACATTTACTATCTAAATATAAATCAAATATCTCAGACAATCATATACGATTATAAAACAAAAACTTTAAGAATAAAAATATTTACTTAGATGTACTATTTTTTAAAATTATAGCGTAACTTCTATTCTATAGATGTTCGCAACGAGATTACAGCAGAGTGAGCGACAGTCATGTTTACGCGTGCCTCGCGTGTTTTGTTTTTAATGTAGCCTCGATTATTCTACTTACCTCTATAGTCTACTTACCCCGGTCTCCCCTATTTACTCAAAATTTTGTTTCTTTAATGAGATTTACCTCAGTGGTAATCATTATAAGTTAATTCCCTCATGTCCAATCTCGAAAATTAGGCCCATTCAACGTGAATTTTGCAAAAAGAAGTATTGTTCTGACCTACAAAGCAGACTTGGTATGAAAAAAATTCTCAATGTAGTTTTTAAAGAAAATTATATCTACAAATATTTCTTCCAATTCTGAATTCCTATCTACAGTATAAAAAATTTAAATTTTAATAAATATTTATTTAATAAAAAAATGGTACTTAATATAAATTAAAAATTTTTATATCAAATAAATATATGTAATTAACATTTAACAAATATTAAATTACAGTTTACTATTATTAAACAAATATTTATTAAAATTTAATAAATTTTTTCAGTGTAATATTTCAGAAATAATCGATTCAATTATAAATTTCGCTCGCGTTTCGTTTTATGATTATAAAAGACACCTTCGCCACTTAACTTTAAAACGTTGTAGCACTACCGACATGTACGGTTCGTGCGATCACATCGTGGCATGTTCATAGGGATGCGGAAATCGTGATAACGAAGAGCGTTATCACATGCGAAAAGTAGGCCCAACGAAGCCGCCGCTGAGAGCGTCGGATTACACAATTAGCAGGTCCTCCTTCTGGTGAGGGCCATCCGGTAGCCTCTGATTAAATACACGGATATTGTAGCAGAGGTAACCCAACCCTTCCATGATCGGCCGTACGATTGCCTGCGTCACCGCCGCCAAGAAATTTCGCGTCGCCGCGCATGTAATCTTCCACACGCGCAGACACGGTGCGAGACACCATATATGCTGCAAGGAACAACAAAGGTAGAAGAATATATGGATCGCGAGTTGAATAAGACGAGCTATCGTTGAAATTCAAAAGAACGAAAAACGTTTCGTACGTTTCGGATCTTTCCTCAACTATTTCACATCTTGAAAAAAACAAAAAATAGAAAAATCTTCTTAAATAGATTTTAATAAAATTAGAATTAAATATAAATATGAAGGAGTATAGTCACGTTGTTTTAAACGAAAGTCAATATATTTAAAATTATCATATAATAACGTAGATGTTTCGGTCAAGATTTAACCATCATCAGTAGAAATATCAAGATGTCACAAAAAATACATAGAATATTAAAACAATAATCGCTAATCCAAAAAATGATAAGACAACTTTCGCTTATGGTACGAGTTAACAGAGTAAATTAAGGTTCAAGAAAATGACATTAAATAATATTCAATCGCTTATGAAAACTGTTTAAACGTCTAGCATCGTGGCTGTATGCTCCTTTTTATTTATATTTTGTATTTTTAAGCCACCTTCAGTTTAAATTTTAAAATTAAATCTTAACTAACTGTAATTAATTCTTTTTAAAGCGTTAAGAGATTGCGTACATCTTTCAAGGGAAGTTCTTTCCTTCTTAGTAGATATTTTGCATATTTTCGTAAATATGCAATAAATTAAATTAAATTAAATCTCTACGATAAAATCATTCATGTAAAAAATAAATATATTAATATTAAAATTATTAAGTTATATTAAAATTCAAATTAAAAATGATTGATACGTTCATAATCATTCATGTTTCGATCTTGGATCAATCCCGCCGCAATGCGAAGCGTGACGTATTCCGCTCGCAGTGTGCAATGATACATGTGGGAAACTCGCGAGATCGATCGCGGTGGAAATCAAAAGAAACGGACGCACGCGAGGGGGTGGGTTATCGACTCACCTGAAACGCGAGGCAGGCGAACGTGAAGCCCAACAGCAGGGCGAGCAGAGGCGCAATGAGGACGGAGAGAAGCACGTAACAGCATCCTCTGGAAAGCCGGAAACAGTGGCCGCTGAGTCGCCAAGCACATTCGGGACTCCGGATCCCTTCCGGCTCGCCAATCACGTCATCCCACATCACCTGCGTAATGACGTTCACGCCCGTGTAAAATGTAACGATCATAATAATAATATTGGTCGCGCTTCGATCGTGCCATTAAACTCGATAAGTGATGACATTCCATGGATCGATCAAAGTGTACACTGTTAGAAATGTAACTACGAATTTCCTTTAGATGTAATGAAGCTCGTGGTTATGAACGAAATTAAAAGTAATGAATGATTTAAATGAAAATTAAGTTATAGTAGTTATTTAAATGTAGTTACTTAAATGTGTACATTAAATTTATGAAATGTATATTTCATAAAATTTTATAAAATGTTTAATGTGTAATTAAATTTTATAAATTTTCGTAAAAAATACATTTCATTTAAATTTCATGTACATGTATACAAATATACTTTTCATATATTATAAACACATTAAATGCATAATGGGTCATGAAATTAAGTTCAAATTGTGTAACTTAAAAGTATATTAATTTCATAAAATTTTGATCAGTGTATGAGCGATGGCCGCGTTAGTCAGCTTAAAGTCCCATTACTGTATGTTGACCTTCAATTATTTTCGCGGAAACGTGCATCATAGCTTTCAGCTTAGTTCAATGGAAAAGAAACTTGACAATTCAGAAAATTAGAAATTGAAGATGAGAGAAAATTCGAAAGCGATTAACCGCTCCCTTCAATGATTATGTAACAAAGATAGAGATTGCAGGACATAATTCTGAGAAAAAAGTACTTTGTGACTATACAGCGTAAATAATAATAATAATTAGAAGCATTTTTATAATTATTTTATTACAATCTTATTAATAACAATTATACGTATTTATAATTCGATGTACAATCACAAACATTTTTTTCTGAACATTCTTACAGCATAGATCTTTAAGAGACATCCTGAGAACGTCCATATGTTCTCTGAACGTTTCCAGACCGTCTCTCGGTTAAAGTGTGCTGTGTAGTAAGTGTATCATTTGAATTTGCGATACGTGCGCAGAAAGAAAAGTTTCGCTAAAGTCCAAAAATTTAACTAAGATAAAATTCTAAAATTAATTTTGTTAGATTAAAAGGTCAAAATTTTTTCTAGCATTGTTTTATTTGACCGTTCTATGTAATTATTTTAATGGTTCAATAAAATTTCTCTTCTGTATTTAGCAAAATTTTTAGATACTTTAACAAAACTATTCCATGTAAGTTGGTGCGTGCTTTATATGGGATGAAGGACATTTATCGTAAGATTAAAGGACAA